TAGTTTTGTACGTTTTATGTAAAAACTACTTAAACAGCAAACTCACAAGTGTTCGTTAAGTTGTACGTACCAAACAGAGTGCAGAGACGCAGAGGACTATGCACAGTTCATATTGCCTATACATGTAATATTGTACATGCATTATTCATGAAGAAAATCGGCATTGTCGCATGCATTTTTTTTTTCATGTCACGAGGATATTTTAACAGAAAAATATAAGAAATTTAAAAAAAATTAACCCAGCAAATTTCAGTTTCTAAAATAATTTCAAAAGTTATATAAATTGGTTTGCGGCCGATTTTTGACGCTTGCGTCAATATGTTTCTTGTATCCTCTTTTATAGAAAGTTATTAAAAGTGTAATTGGAAATTCTCAAAAGTCAAATATAGTGAAATTGAAACAATTTAAATTTTTCAATTTTATTTTTAATTGCTTTCAAAGGTAAAACCAAAATGTAAAACAAGAACTATTATTGTATTTTTAAGGATTGAAAACATAAGACAAAAATTGTGAAATTTAATGAATTTAAATTTTTCAAAATATTGAAATTGTTCCTAAATTGTTTAAACATGGATTATATTTGCATTTTTAAATTGATAACAACATATGGTGTTTTTTGAAATGTCTCAGAGGACAAATAGAGTGAAATTTAAATGATTTAAAATTTTTAAAAAATTTAAATTGCTCCCTAATGTAAAATCAAATACTTTATTTGTATTTTGACAGATAAAGAACATCATACAATGTGTTTTGAAATATTTCAAAGGTCCAATAGAGTGAGATTTAAACGATTTAAATTTTTCAAAAAATTTAAATTGCTTCCAAATGTTAAATCAAGTACTATATATGTATTGTAACAGATAGAGAACATCATACAATATGTTTTGAAACCTCTCAAAGGTCAAATAGAGTGAGATTTAAACGATTTAAATTTTTCAAAAAATTTAAATTGCTTCCAAATGTTAAATCAAGTACTATATATGTATTATGACAGATGGAGAACATAATACAATGTGTTTTGAAATCACTGAAAGGTCAAATTGAGTGAGATTTAAATGATTTAAATTTTTTAAGAAATTTAAATTGCTTCCAAATGTAAAATCAAATACTATATCTGTGCTTTGACAGATGGACATTATTATTCAAAGTGTTTTGAAATATCCCAGAGGCGGAATAGAGCTAGATTTAAACGATTTAAATTTTTCAAAAAATTTAAATTTCATCCAAATAAAAAATCAAAGATGAAATCTATATTTTGACAGAGGGAGAACACCATACAATATGTTTTGAAATATCTCAGAGAATGGATAAAGCAAGATTTGAACGATTTAAATTTTTCAAAAAATTTAAATTTTATCCAAATTAAAATTCAAAGATGAAATCTGTATTTTGACAGATGGAGAACACCAAACAATGTATTTTGAAATCTCTCAAAGGTCAAATTGAGTGAGATTTAAACAATTTAAATTTTTTGAAAAATTTAAATTGCTTCCAAATGTAACAAAATGTATACTAGTGTATTTTTTCAGATAGACAACATCAGACAATGTGTTTTGAAATCTGATATTGCGCTTGATTTTACATTTAGAAGCAATTTAAATTTTTTGAAAATTTTAAATCGTTTTAATCTCACTCTTTTTTACCTCTAAGAGGTTTCAAAACACATTGCATGATGTTCTCTATCTGTCACAATACATATATAGTACTTGATTTTACATTTGGAAGCAATTTAAATTTTTTGAAAAATTTAAATCGTTTAAATCTCACTCTATTTGACCTCTGAGAGGTTTCAAAACATATTGTATGATGTTCTCTATCTGTTACAATACATATATAGTACTTGATTTAACATTTGGAAGCAATTTAAATTTTTTGAAAAATTTAAATCGTTTAAATCTCACTCTATTTGACCTCTGAGAGGTTTCAAAACATATTGTATGATGTTCTCTATCTGTCACATTACATATATAATACTTGATTTTACATTTGGAAGCAATTTAATTTTTTTGAAAAATTTAAATCGTTTAAAATTCACTCTATTTGACCTCTGAGAGGTTTCAAAACACATTGTATGATGTTCTCTATCTGTTACAATACATATATAGTACTTGATTTTACATTTGGAAGCAATTTAAATTTTTTGAAAAATTTAAATCGTTTAAATCTAACTCTATTTGACCTCTAAGAGGTTTCAAAACACATTGTATGATGTTCTCTATCTGTTACAATACATATATAGTACTTGATTTTACATTTGGAAGGAATTTAAATTTTTTGAAAAATTTAAATCGTTTAAATCTAACTTTATTTGACCTCTGAGAGGTTTCAAAACATATTGTTTGATGTTCTCTATCTGTCACAATACAGATATAATACTTGATTTTACATTTGGAAGCAATTTAATTTTTTTGAAAAATTTAAATCGTTTAAATCTCACTCTATTTGACCTCTGAGAGGTTTAAAAACACATTGTATGATGTTCTCTATCTGTTACAATACATATATAGTACTTGATTTTACATTTTGAAGCAATTTAAATTTTTTGAAAAATTTAAATCGTTTAAATCTAACTCTATTTGACCTCTGAGAGGTTTCAAAACATATTGTATGATGTTCTCTATCTGTCACAATACATATATAATACTTGATTTTACATTTGGAAGCAATTTAAATTTTTTGAAAAATTTAAATCGTTTAAATCTCACTCTATTTGACCTCTGAGAGGTTTTAAAACACATTGTATGATGTTCTCTATCTGTCACAATACATATATAGTACTTGATTTTACATTTGGAAGCAATTTAAATTTTTTGAAAAATTTAAATTGTTTTAATCTCACTCTATTTTACCTCTGAGAGGTTTCAAAACACATTGTATGATGTTCTCTATCTGTTACAATACATATATAGTACTTGATTTTACATTTGGAAGCAATTTAAATTTTTTGAAAAATTTAAATCGTTTTAATATCACACTATTTGACCTCTAAGAGGTTTCAAAATACATTGTGTGATGTTCTCTATCTTTCACAATACATATACAGTAATTAATTTTACATTTGGAAGCAATTTAAATTTTTTGAAAAATTAAAATTGTTTAAATCTCACTCTATTTAACCTTTGAGAGGTTTAAAAACACATTGTATAATATTCTCTATCTGTCACAATACATATATAGTACTTGATTTTACATTTTGAAGCAATTTAAATTTTTTGAAAAATTTAAATCTTTTAAATCTCACTCTATCTGACCTGTGAGAGGTTTCAAAACATATTGTATGATGCTCTCTATATCTCACAATACAAATATAGTATTTGATTTTACATTTTGAAGCAATTTAAATTTTTTGAAAATTTAAACCGTTTAAATCTCACTTAATTTAACATTTGAGCGATTTAAAAACACATTGTTTGATGATTTCTATTCGTCACAATACAAATATAGCCCTCGATTTTTAAAAAAATTAAGTTGTTTAAGTGATAATTTATTTGACCTTTTAGAGATTTTGCAACATATAGTTTTATGTCCTCCATCTGTCCAAATACAGATTTACACAAAGCAACATCAATTACATAAAAAATATTATTCTGAATGAAAATCCCAGTCAAAATCTTACCTCATTTCATCAAAAAGTGGACGGAAGACCCACTCGTTGCTCGCAACGAGATCGTATCTAGTCTTATTATTAAGGTCTTCCGTCTTCAGCGGAAGACCTTATTGTTTTTCTTAGGTTTCTTTTCCACTATTTTTATTAGGGTCTTCCGCTTCCTTCGGAAGACCCTACTGTTATTCTATTTAGGGTCTTCCGCTTCCTTCGGAAGACCCTACTGTTATTCTATTGTTTCTTATTATTCTTTTTTTTTCCTGCTCGATTTTTGACAGGCGATTTCTCAAAGACCTTTGGACTGATCGTTATGAAACTTTCAGGATAGATAGTTTGTAGTTAAACCTATTTAAACCTGTTTTCAGTTTTTTGATGCATGCCTTTATTTGTGAGTTATTGCCCTTTAATTGAAAATTTTTGATGTCTCGTTTCCACTGAAAATCTCAAAAATGACATAAGATATTTACACGAAAGTTGGAGAATTTGTAGCCAATACATTGTAGATGTGCACAACGATAAAATTATATAGCTGATTTCTTAAAGTTTTGAAGCTATAAAACGGCAAATTTTAGTAATTTTTTTTCTTTGAATTTTTGCTACTTTTTGTGTAATTACTTTTAAACCGAGAATAATTTGGTAAGAAATATATTACAAAAGTTGTGGGTAATTACGAGAGCTTTCATATTTGATTAACGAAAAGGGGCTGGCCCCTATAATTAGGGGTTAATAGCTCATACACGCTTTTTTCTGATAGCTAAAAATATTGGTATATTATGAAAAATTTTGACTGAAATAATTTCGAACTTATAAAATTTTGTCATTTGATATAAAAAGAAATAAACTTCCAGCTATATTTAATTGTTTTTTTTTATAAAACAAGTACGTATGTGAGAAACCTTTCAGGAACAAGTTGTCTACTATAGCCAGCCAAGCCTTTACTGCATACATGTGCACATTTTTAGTTCATGCATCTAAAAGATATAGTTTTGATCCGGTGTTTCTTTGTTTTCTTTTTATTCAAATAATTTTAAAATGTGATGATGTACACAACAATAATTACTACCTAGTTTAGAGGATTTTTTCGCGCTTGTTTGTAAACAACGCGCGGCATTGTGGGAAATAGGAAGGTACTAAAGACGCGATGTACTAAACACTGATTTGACCTGATTCAAATTTGTCTGTAAATGTTCCAAACAATTGAATTTTTGTATAGCATATGCCTCGAAGTAATAAAGTCTGTACATAAGTAATTTAAAATACTCAATATTACCATTTAATTAAAAATTAAAACGTCAGGTAAATATCAGGTCTCTAGTATATCCCGTTTTTAGTGTGTCCCTTCGAGTCGACGTCGGACACATGTTTGCCATGGTTTACAAAATTTGTGAAGTTGAACATTTTCTCACAAAGAATCCGTTTGTAGACATGCACACTCATTTAATCTGCAGCTACGAAGTACTTTGTCACTTCTCTGTAACATTATTCTAAGCAGAATTATCCTGATTCATATATTCTAAGAATCTTGTGTGAATTGTTTACGAGGAAATTCTGACTGTCACATTAACAAGGATGAACACTCTTGACTCTGCTTCGGATTTCCCAGTGATAATTGTATCGAGTGATGAAAGAGCTGACGGCGACATTTTAATGTATGATTGGCTTGGACCATTGGAATGAAGGTTAGAATATTTTTATTACTTAAAATTTACACTACTGTCAGATTACATGACAGTGACATACATTGATGTTATTAGAAATACACAGACACACCGATATATTATCTGTTTTACAGTTCAGACGCTCTCTGTTTGCCTTGTAAATCCCCACAGCTTTATATTTTATTTTTTTTTTAAATTTGAGGATGTAATTTCAACAGCCCTACTATCTATCATAGTGATCATACTCTATAATTCAAACTGCACTTAATGTTTCAGAATATATTCAACTAATTATATATTGACAGTGTGACTGTAAGGGTGAGGGCAGATACTTATTTAGTTTTAATTTAGATTGTGCTTGTCAAGCCGCATTTGACATTTGGTGCATCCATGCTCAGTGTTCACACTGAGAGTTTATTCAAATGTTTAATACGAATGAATTCACTGCTCGTTAAATTACTTCCCATTAGCTCCATGGGAACATGAGTAAGGATAGCTAATTCAAATTCAATAGACATGAATTTTGAATGTAGCTTAAACATTATAAAGAAGCTAAGCACTGTGGGTCCAAAGTATACTGCGGAAAAATTGTGTGGAGCAATGTGCAAGTCACAATCTTCTTTTGCCAAGGTGTTATCATAAGAGCTCGCATTATGGGCAGGGATTTGTGCTGCTGTCTGGACTCGCTATAAATAGATGTTCTCAAAAAGTCTTAATTATTTAATATCATACTTTACTGACAAAAAAGGACAAATATTGCTCAGTTAAATTGCAAAAGAAATTTGTTTAAAAAAATTGTAATAATAGAAAGTTTGCTTTTTTGTTTGATAAGACTGCTGTAATGGTTTAATGTTTGTTTATTTGCCTTAATCATACATTTTTCAGTCATTTCATGGTGCCACCACTTGGGATGGTATTAGCTGCAAATATAGAGTTGCACTCAGCACTTATTGCCTTTAAGAAGTATGAGATCCATTTTGTGCTAACACCTACCCTGAAACAGAATCTTGGTTTATGCAGTCTCATAGGAGTAACCTGTCTAAAGCATTTAGCAATGGGATTGGAACCTGCGACGTAAGGTTCAGCTTCTTATTGATACTTTGATTTATAATATTTATTTGAGAATTTCACTCATTCACATACTTAGAGATGTTGATATATATTGTTGAATAGCATCAATTTAGACCTTTACTTAGCTAAGTAAACATGTACTGTGAGGTTTTTAAGGTCTCATTCATTTTATATGCCAGTTGCATGTTAAGGAACATTACTGCATAAATGTTTTTGTCTTAAATTTGAAGCTCTTTACTAATATAGAGATATGTTAGTGTTAAACCTCTTCAAATTAGGGTAGACCTTTACTTTATACCCAGCAATGTGAGTGTGTTGTGTGATCTTGTGTTAGCGAGACAGTGTGTTGTATGAATTTGTGTTAGCAAGGCAGTGTGTTTTGTGAACTTAATTGTGTTAGCCTGACAGTGGGTTGTGTGAATTCTTGTTAGCTTGACGATGTGTTGTGTAAACTCGTGTTAACGGGACAGCGTGTTGTGTGAAATCGTGTATAAAGTGTAAGTGTGACAGTGTGTTGTGTAAACTCGTGTTAGCTAGACAGAGTGTTGATTGAACTCGTATTAGCGAGACTTCGTGTTGTGTAAACTTGTGTTAGTGAGACTGCGTGTTGTGTAAACTCGTGTTAGCGAGACTGCGTGTTGTGTAAACTCATGTTAGCGAGACAGCGTGTTGTGTGAACTCTTATTAACGAGACAGCATGTTGTGTGAATTTGTGTTAGCGTGACAGTGTGTTGTGTGAACTTGTTATCCTGAAAATTTGTCGTGTGAACTGGTGTAAGAGAGATAGTGTGTTGTGTGAACTCGTGTTAGCGAGATTGCATATTGTGTGAACTCGTGTTAGTCAGACTGCGTGTTATGTGAACTCGTGTTAGCGATATTGCATGTTTTTAGAGACCAGAAGAGCTTATGCGATAGTAATGCGTCCGTCGTCCGTCCGTCTGTCTAGCTGTCTGTCTGTCCATCTGTCTGTCTGTAAACAATTTTTCAAAATGCTACTCCTCCTACAGTTTTGGCTTGATTTCAATATAACTTGGCACACAAGTAGACTACACTAAGATACATGATTCTGTATATCAGTTTTTGATTTCGATGAACGGTGTTGCCATGGTTACTAAAAATAGAAATTTTTGTGAAATTCTTTCAAAATGCTACTCCTCCTACAGTTTTGGTCTGATTTCAATATAACTTAGCACACAAGTAAACTACACAAGGATACATAATTTTGTGTATCTGATTTTGATTTCGATGAAAGGTGTTACCGTGGTTACTAAAAATAAAAATTTATATGAAATTCTTTCAAAATGCTCCTACAGTTTTGGTCTGATTTCAATATAACTCGGCAAACAAGTACTTTACACTAAGATAGATAATTCTGTGTACCGGTTTTTGATTTCAATTGAACGATCTTTCCGTGGTTACTAAAAATAGAAATCTGTGAAAATCTTTCAAAATGCTACTCCTCCTACAGTTTTGGTCTGATTTCAATATAACTTGGCAAACTAGTAGTTTTTGATTTCGATGAATGGTGTTGCAGTGGTTACTAAAAATAGAAATTTTTAAGAAATTCTTTCAAAATGCTACTCCTCCTACAGTTTTGGTATGATTTCAATATAACTTGGCAAGCAAGTAGTTTACACTGAGATACATAATTCTGGGTATCGCATTTTGATTTCGATGAACCGTGTTGCCATGGTTACTAAAAATAGAAATTTCTATGAAATTTTTTCAAAATGCTACTCCTCCTATAGTTTAGTCTGATTTCAATATAACTTGGCACATAAGTAGACTACACTAAGATACATAATTATGTGTATTAGTTTTTCACTTCAATGAATAGTGTTGCCATGGTTACTAAAAATAGAAATTTCTGTTAAATACTCTCAAAATGCTACTCCAAATACAGTTTTAGTCTGATTATAATATAAAGTGGCATGCAAGTAGACTATAATAAGAACATAAAGAGACTTAATCAAGGATCATTATTATATTTATTGCTGTTGAAAAGTTTCAGTTTCAATTTCCACTTGCTTCAGTGTCGACAGAGACTTCTGGTTTGAATTTGTGTTAGCGTGACAGTGTGTTGTGTGAACTCGTGTTAGCGTGACAGTGTGTTGTGTGAAATGGTATTAGGATGACAGTGTGTTGTGTGAAATGGTATTAGGATGACAGTCTGTTATCGCAACAGCTTTTGGTGCGAACTTGTGTTAGTGAATAGTGAGACAGCCTGTTTTGTGAATTCATGTTAGCGTGACAGTGTGTTGTGTGATTACCCGTACGAAATTTAAGTCACGTATTTTTTAAAAAATCCAGGCGTATCTTAATCTAAAAATCCTTGTGGAAATCTCTATTGAAATGAATATATAAAACCAGGCGTATAATGTAAAATACAGGCGTACACGAGGCGTAATCCTCCCGTATTTTTGGCCGAAATATGCAAATGAGTACGCCTGGAAATTCAAAATACGTCTGGAAATTTTAAAAATAGAATTACGCCTAGATTTCAAGCATACCCTTAAAAATACGCCTGCAAAATAAATACACCCGTATAAAAGAATACGCCCGTACAAAAAAATACGCCTGTACAAAAAATACGCCTGCTTTAAATAGATTTGAATTAAATATTAATTATATTACAGCAATGGGAGCTACAACTATAGCATGAATATAAATGTACAATCAACTTCAGTACAAAGATTTTTGACTACATATGCTAAAAAAGATTAGACAAATTAAGCTAAGCATACATCACTTTTATTTTCTTAATATTTTTCAGAGTGATAAAATGTGAATGAGATTCATTAGTAAAGGATTGTCATTAAAATTTAAAAAATCATAATCTTACATTTACTTTTTCAAAGCACAGTTACATGTTAGAATATATTAACTGTTTCACAGCATTTTAACATCCAAGGCTGAGTTTTATAGTAAACAGTTGAAACATTCCAATAATCACAGTGAATCACAGTTTTGAAAATCATGCCGAGTACTCCTGCCATTCTTTTTACTCCTAAATTGGCATAAAAGATGCAAATCACGAGCAGTTCTGTCATTCACGTTTCACATCACATTTCCCAATCACATTTTCATAGATTGAAATATTCACAAAAAGAAGTTTGAATGCTTTATAACTGGCATTGCAAACAGTCATCTTCTTCCTGATGCAATCTTCCAATGGCTACAGTTCACTGGCATTATTGCATTTATGGAAAGCTATGCTGCTGGTCAGCTCTTAATATTGCAAGATCTTTTCTCCTCCTCTTATGACCATTTCATCATTCAATCAATTTTCCAACTGTGATAAGGATTTAGATGTAAATCATTTTCTGGAAAAAGAATAATTTATGTAATTCAAAATACTACTGACCCAATTTTCAGTCAGGGGTGTGATTGAAATCCATCATTTTTAAAAATGATGATTTTCAGTCATTAAATTGATTTTTAATAATGATGGAAATTCATCTTTTTTTAGTAAAATGATGAAAAACAGTCATTTCTATTTTGAAATTTATTTTAGAAATAGAGTTATCTCTGATATTAAAAATGACTGTTTTTCATCATTTTTTATCAAATTGTTAGGTCTGGGGCACTTAATTATCTCATTAGTTTTACGGGGCGCACTAAATTATTTTGGTTTCAATTACTTGTCAAGATGTTTCTCTACACAAGGGTCTATGGCAGGATAGTGTACTATATCTAATTACTGTAGTAAATGGGATGGGAAAATTGACTTGAGAATGGAAATATGATGAAAAGACGTCATATTTACAAAAATCAGAAAATTGTGTACATTATATACTTAGAAGAAATGACCATTATCCATCATTTTCAAAAATGACTGATTTCAGTACCACCCCTGACTGATTTTCAATCATTAACATCTGGCTCTGCAAATCAAAAGCAAATGCAGCTGTCTTTTATTTTCATAGATAAAAAGTTTCAATGTTAAGCTATGTTTTCAAAATATTTACCTCTTCTACACCATCTGTGCTTTGTTGTGTTTTTCTCTAATCTCATTGTTCTTGGCATGACCTGCCTGGTGGTTTAAAATTGGCGCAAATACTTGGATGCAGATGCTGTTATTTACAACCCCCTAGTTAGCTAAACTCTTTTATGATTTCTGGAAGTTCTACTCAGTACAATTTGTAATTTTGAAGAAAAATGCTGTTTTGTTTACAGCTAGAACATAAAAATAAAATTCCATCAATGTATAAACAAGGTGTATTCATTACATGAATTAAAAAGATACTAGGGTGGGAAATAGAACTGCTGTACACAAACCGGATATAAATTGATAAGCCGTTCTTAGGTTTACAACATCACAGATAAGTCGTTCCTAAACATGCTCAACACATCTGTAAGTAATTAGCACAATCCCAGCAGGTTAGGCTAGGGAAGTGAAAGTTGATGGTAATGTAACAGAGTATCTAAATATACCAAATATAAATCATTTTATAAGAAAAACATTTAATTGTAATAACATGTATGTTTATAGCCTGACTAAACAATTAATCATGCATGAAGTTAAAAAAATATACTATCTACTTTACACTTATAGAAATCATTTGTGTTAAGAAAAATAATATCAATTTTTTGAAAAAAAAATGGGAATGACAAAATTTTAGGTCCATGGGATATATGTTCTAAAAAAAAAGTTCTAAAAGAAAAAATCAGTTTAATTTATGAAAAATAATTGCTTTGATATTTAATACAACAAACTAAATGCAATATTGTAATGTATACAATCATGCAATACTGTTTTTTTGTTTAAGTTATATAATATAATAAAAATGTTTCTTATGCAACTCAATACTTTAAAAAAAAGAGAATGAGTTGACTAAGTTTTTTTGGCTAAGTTGAAAAATCCACCCGAATTTTAAAAAATACGCCTTTTGAAATTTTCTAAGTTTTAATTTCCTTGTGCCAAAGAGACTAAGTAGAAAATACGCCCGGATTTAGAATTTACGCCTGGAAAAAAGGAGACGTATTTCTGGCAAAAATACGTGTACGCCTGAAAATGAACTGTATTTTTAAGAATACGTCTCATGTACGCCAGGATTTGCAAAAAATCCAGGCGTAATACGTCTCTGAATTTCGTACGGGAACTCGAGTTAGCCCGACAGTGTGTTGCGTGAAATGGTATTAGAATGACAGTGTGTTGTGTGAAATGGTATTAGGATGACAGTGTGTTATCGCAACAGCATTTGGTGCGAACTTGTGTTAGTGAATAGTGAGACAGCCTGTTTTGTGACTTTGTGTTAGCGTGACAGTGTATTGTGTAAACTCGTGTTAGCGTGACAGTGTATTGTGTAAACTCGTGTTAGTGAGACTGCGTGTTGTGTAAACTCATGTTAGCGTGACAGTGTGTTGTGTGAATTCATCTAAGCGTGACAGTGTGTTGCGTGTACTTGTGTTAGCTAGACAGTGTGTTGTATGAACTCGTATTAGCGAGACTGCGTGTTGTGTAAAACTTGTGTTAGCGAGACAGCGTGTTGTGTGAACTTGTGTTAGCGAGACAGCGTGTTTGTGAATTCGTGTTAGCATGATAGTGTATTGTGTGAACTCGTGTTAGCCTGATATTTTGTTGTGTGAAATTGTATTAGCGTGACAGTGTGTTGTGTGTTAGTGTGACAGCATGTGGTGCGAACTTGTGTTAGTGCGAAAGTGTTTTTCAGTGATGTGATGGCGAGCTGTGTGATAGCCTAATGGTGTCTTTTGTGTCGGTAAGATGGCACGCTTTTATGAAAGTGCTATTGAGCTTTAGCAAGTGGCCCTATCTGGACACGCCTTATTATAATTGATCAGTTCTCAGATATACAGTGAATTACCGGTATTATTGTCACCATGAAATCAGCATTTACAGTTGCAATTACCTAGTTAGTAATCATAAGATATTGGTTTGCCAGTTTTAAAATTATGGTGTTCCAATGATGTGAAGTTGCAGTGTGTTAGCATGTTAATTTCAACAGACTGCCACTCCAATGCAGCTTTAAACAACACGCTGCTGTGTTAACACAAAACAAAATATCATGCAAACACAACTCTAAACAATCTGTTGAGTGTTAGCTTCACTGCATGTTGGATTCAGTGTGCTGGCATATATTATCACTGACGTATATGCTAGCACATGGTCACCTCGTGCTAGTATGTTGTCATAAATACTCTAGCACATTATCCTAAACCCACTAGTGCATGATTACTTTGCACTTGTATGTTGTCTTATTAGGGGATAGCATAAATAACTGCCTTAATTGGTGTAAACTTCTTTTAATTGATGAAAGAGTACATTAAAATTTACAAATTATACACAGAAAATGTGACAATATCTTATCTCTCAATTTGATAATCTAATTTATAATCTCATGAATTGCACTTTTTATTAGTAAAAGAATTATAAATTAAAAAATTTCAATTTCTTTTGGATAGGTGTGACTCATCTGAATACTGAATTTTGATACCAAGCATGACCATGATTTGCCAGAAGATCATCTGTTTGGATGTGACATGGAATAAACAGCATAGTGAAAATAAGTCAAGTTTTGGTTTAAAAAGACAATTTTTAAACACACTGTGTATCATTTTTAAATTTTGATTTGACAAAATAAATCCACAAATATGAACATATCAATTGCTCTCAGTTTTTAAAGTGAAATAGTTTTTGTAACAGAAATACATGTACCAGTTATTACATTGGAATAAATGTTATTTTTAAATACAGTGTATAATAATATTTTGTTTGTGTAGCATGTTGACCTCTTTATTAATGTCTTCCCTTTCAAAGTTTAGACTTACTTATTCTAATGATTAAGATAGATCCTCTGTCTTCAGCAGGAATATAAGATCTTGTAATACATGTATGTGTATTTTTTTTTACAGTATAATGTAAAAACAATTGTTATTTTGGCACATACAACTAATTAAAGGCATAAACATGTGTATGATTCCAAGGAATTCAGTACATAGGGCATGTACATGTAGTTTTCTAAAACAAGATTGAAGAGATGTCCAGTCGCATTTCAATGTCAACTGCAAAACTGTGCCTGTTGCATACTTATTAGCCCATCTGAGCTAAAGGAACCAGTAAATTTTTTAAAAACATAATTTTATCCATTATCATTATTGTCTAAAATTTCACAATATCATTTTCCAGAACCAAAGTGAAACTTGGCACAGAGCATCCTTAGTGTAGGGGATTCAAATTGTTCTTATGCAGGGCAATACCTTAAAAGAGATTTGTTTCTTTAATGCTGTAAATGTATTATATTTAGCTTGTACAGTATTTGGTGGAAATTGACTTTTGAATAAGTTAGCGTATATATTCTTATTTATGTTTATGTACAAGACTTTTAGCTTTGTACTTGATTTAGTGATTGCTGCATTCCGCCAAAGCCGCTAAAAAAGAAAACACAGCCATATGTAATATGTTTACAATATACCTTTCAGAGAATTTTACACTCCTATTGAGGTACCACCAGTTGCTAGTGGAAAGCTGCAAATTCGAAACATACACAACACATTTCTGTGCGTTTATTATAAAAGTATTGTTCTACTTAACTGATTGCATCTAATGAAGATTGTTCATCATTATTGTAAATACATTTGGATTTTTTGAATTATTATATAATTTGTTTATTTTATTTACCTAGTTATATTGTATATTAAATGATTTTAAAGCCATTTTTAAGATGGTAATGTAGCAAAACACTTATGTTTCTGTAGTACCGGTATGACACGTTTCACAAACATAATTGCAACAAACATGATATATCCGATATCAAAAGTCATAATATTGGAAGTTAAACTGTTGTGGATACGATTTCAAGAATGCTGTTAGAGAGAGTACCCTTTAGACCTCATGCTCACACCAAATTAAAGAATTCAAGTAAGGGTACCAAATTAAAGAATTCAAGTAAGGGTTTTTGAGACAAATCGAAAAAGAGAATGTTAGCAAAGTTGACAATCTAGACAGAAACATTTAATCTTTTGCTTATCGCTAGGAAGGAAGACCCACTCGTTGCTTTGCAACGAGCTTTGCTCTACTTAAGGTCTTCCGTCTTCAGCGGAAGACCTTCTTGTTTTTCTTAGGTTTCTTTTCCACTATTTTTATTATTATTGTTTTTTTTTTCTTACCGATTTTGTACGCGCGATTTCTCGAGAACGGCTCGATCGATTTTCATGAAACTTTCAGGTCTGATAGAACATCAAAAAATCTAGATATATATTTTTTTATTTTGATGACGTCACTTCCGGTTCGGAGTTTTCTGCGATTTAGTGATTTTTAGAGGGTCACTTTGTCCGGCAGTTTTCTCAAAAAGCACTTAACACAGAAGCTTGAAATTTTCAGTGATGCTAGAGCAACTTTCGGAGATGTGCATTAAGTATATCACAACTACCGGAAGTACGAAGCGCCGACGCTCGCTATGGCTCGAAAATAGCCCTATCAAGAATTTCAAAATTTAAAGCACCTTTTCACCGATAACTTTTTACCTAGAAATATTTTGTTAAAGCATGTAGGACAAAAAGGTGTAGAATTTCAAGATCTTTCAAATGACATCTCAAAAAAGGGACTAGCCCCTTAAATCAGGGGCCTGGAGGGGCCGAAAGTTTTTTCCTTTATCTCTCAAAAAGTATTTAGAATTTGCAATACATCAAAGAAGCAAAGTTGTTCAAAATGACAAGCTTTATCTATTGTAGTCGTCAAAATACATCCGGCGTCATCACTTCCGGTCAAACCGGAAGTAGTCGGAAAACGCTTATTTTTGCCGTTCTTGACAAGTTTTTGGGTAACATATGTCTCTGGGAGCAATAAAATTAATTTTCCGTCCGTCGTCGTCACTTCCGGTCAAACTGGAAGTAACAGAAAGTGGCTTATTTTTGCAATAATTAACATGAATTTAGAGGAATCAAACCATTTTTGGACGTTATTTCTCATTTTTTGTTGAAAATGAAAGCCACTTCCGGTCAAACATGACGGAAGACCTACTCGTTGCTTTGCAACGAGCTTTGCTCTAGTTCTTAATATTATTCTTTTTTTTTCCTTTTCCTAGACGCCAACTTTGAGGCCTCATATTTCACTCATTTCTCAATGGATTTTGCTCAAATTTTCAGAGTTTATGGACGTTACTAAACTCTATCAGAATGCTATCTAAAATTTCAAAAAGTCACTTCCGGTTTTGAGTTATTTCCCTTTAAACGAAAATTTATAGGCTTTCGTTTCCAGACAAAGGCTCAGAGACGGCTAAAGCTGGAGCAGAAATATTACTGATTTTAGATAATACAAGGATTGAAGTTGTGCATGGCGGTTTTTGTTTTTCGATTTCTCTATTCAAAATGGTGCTATATAGGGGTCAAAAATTAGAACACCTAAAAGAGCGAAAATTTACACATATTTTGCTTTTTATCTTCTAAACTAAAAATATTTTGTCAAAACATATAGAACAAAATTTGTGCAGAATTACAAGATCTTTCAAATGATATCTCGAAAAAAGGGCTGACCCCTAAATTAAGGGATCTAGAGGGGCCAAAAGTTTTTTCCAGATATCTCAAAAAGTATTGAGAATTTGTAATACATCCAAGAAGCAAAGTTGTTCAAAATGTCAAGCTTAATCTATTGCAGTCGTCAAAATGCGTCCGGCGACGTCACTTGTAGATGTGCACAACGATAAAATTATATAGCTGATTTCTTAAAGTTTGGAAGCTATAAAACGGCAAACTTTAGTAATTTTTTTTCTTTGAATTTTTGCTACTTTTTGTTTAATAACTTTTAAACCGAGAATAATTTGGTAAGACATATAATACAAAAGTTGTGGGTAATTACGAGAGCTTTCATATTTAATAACGAAAAGGGGCTGGCCCCTATCATTAGGGGCTAATGGCTCATACACATTTTTTTCTGATAGCTAAAAATATTGGTATATTATGAAAAAGTTTGACTGAAATAATTTCGAACTTATAAAATCTTGTCATTTGATATAAAAAGAAATAAACTTCCAGCTATATTTAATTGTTTTTTTTATAAAACAAGTACATGTATGTGAGAAACCTTTCAGGAACAAGTTGTCTACTATAGCCAGCCAAGCCTTTACTGCATACATGTGCACATTTTTAGTTGATGCATCTAAAAGATATAGTTTGGATTCGGTGTTTCTTTGTTTTCTTTTTATTCAAATAATTTTAAAATGTGATGATGTACACAACAATAATTAGTACCTAGTTTAGAGGATTTTTTCGCGCTTGTTTGTAAACAACGCGCGGCATTGTGGGAAATAAGAAAGGTACTAAAGACGCGATGTACTAAACACTGATTTGACCTGATTCAAATTTGTCTGTAACTGTTCCAAACAATTGAATTTTTGTATAGCATATGCCTCAAAGTCATAAAGTCTGTACATAAGTAATTTGAAATACTCAATATTACCATTTGATTAAAAATTAAAACGTCAGGTAAATATCAGGTCTCTAGTATATCCCGTTTTTAGTGTGCCCCTTCGAGTCAACGTCGGACACATGTTTGCCATGGTTTACAAACTGAAAATAGAATGATTTGTGAAGTTGAACATTTTCTCACAAAGAACCCGTTTGTAGACATGTACACTCATTTAATCTGCAGCTACTAAGTACTTTTTCACTTCTCTGGAACATTATTCTAAGCAGAATTATCCCGATTCATATATTCTAAGAATCTTGTGTGAATTGTTTACGAGGAAATTCTGACTGTCACATTAACAAGGATGAACACTCTTGACTCTGCTTCGGACTCGGATCATCATATCATTCCCCACTGATAATTGTATCGAGTGATGAAAGAGCTGACGGCGACATTTTAATGTATGATTGGCTTGGACCATTGGAATGAAGGTTAGAATATTTTTATTACTTAAAATTTACACTACTGATTACATGACAGTGACATACATTGATGTTATTAGATACACAGACACACCGATATATTGTCTGTTTTACAGTTCAGACGCTCTCTGTTTACCTTGTAAATCCCCACAGCTTTATATTTTATTTTATTTTAAATTTGAGGATGTAATTTCAACAGTCCTACTATCTATCATAGTGATCATACTCTATAATTCAAACTGCACTTAATGTTACAGAATATTCAACTAATTATATATTGACAGTGTGACTATAAGGGTGAGGGCAGATACTTATTTAGTTTTAAGTTAGATTGTGCTTGTCAAGCTGCATTTGACATTTGGTGCATCCATGCTCAGTGTTCACACTGAGAGTTTATTCAAATGTTTAATTCGAATGAATTCACTGCTCGTTAAATTACTTCCCATTAGCTCCATGTGAACATGAGTAAGGATAGCTAATTCAAATTAAATAGAAATGAATTTTGAATGTAGCTTAAACATGTTAAAGAAGCTAAGCACTGTGCAGGGCTCTCACACCTATTTTTGGTACTGGGGCCAGGGCCATTGCAATTGGGAAAAAAGCGTGGTTTTTATAAAAATTGGAAAATTAATTTTTATCAGTCATAATTTAAACTCTTGAAACAAGAAAAATCAAATAAACACAGAGTAATTATATAAACTGAAACGAATCATCATCATTGTCTTACTCTTAGTAGAAATATTTTTTTTCTACACTTGCAGTATAGTACTGCAGGGATCAAACTTAACTTTTTGATCACTAGCAAATATCAGCAAATTTATTTTTACTAGCAAATTGTAATACAGAACTTTCACTAGCATTTTTTCTTCTCATAGTAAGTCATATAAGATTTAAATGATCTTATCATCTATTAAAAATATCCTTTTGGAAGCATTTATGTCGTTTTTATTAAAGATAAGATCTGAACAGATAGAGAGGTGTGTAATTAAAAAAAAATCTCATCCTTACATTTAAAATTAAATCATTAAATACACTGTGAATATATTTTTGGAAAATTACATAACTTTTTCACTCTACTTGATTAAGTGATCGTAAATAATTTAATGCAATATCTAACGTTACATGTATTTGCCATAAACAAAGGAGTGGAGGAAATTCGGATTAAAAAACGATCGTTTTTGGAAGTAAATAAGTCAGGTAGTGCTGCAAAATAGATAAGAATATGGGAATTTACAAACTGTACGAGCATGGTTCCTAATTTTTTTCATTGTTAGGGAATCTTATAGCAAAAAATGAGTAAAACCTGTAGCCCTTCTCATTCAGTCATTGGTAATCTGAATTTTTAGGACCTTTCTTTTACTTGCAAAAGGTGGCGACACAGGTCGCCTTTAACTCGCAATTTTTTATTTTAATTTTCATGTAAAGAGTATTTTCCGTTAATTTCGAGCCCTGACATCGTAGTTCTTCACATTCTGCGACATGTTGTGAATAAAGAAGTCGTACCTAAGAGAATTTGTACTTTACTAGGCCTACTTTACTACAGACGACTTTCGTTTTCATACTAAACTGGTTCCTGCATATAAACGAACTGCCAGTTCATAACACCAACGTGTTTCGTTCATATCTTCACAGTGCTTTTAAGACTGTTAAAGATATGCTTTTTTTTACAGTAAAATATATTTGAAGCAATCATACATTGGGAATTTCTACACTTAAATTTGGGAAAAAAGGTGCCTTTTTCACGTTGGGAATGGGGCCGAATATCGGCCCCAATTATAGAGAATCGAGAGCCCTGCTGTGGGTCCAAAGTATACTGCGGAAAAATTGTGTGGAGCAATGTGCAAGTCACAATCTTCTTTTGCCAAGGTCTTATCATAAGAGCTCGCATTATGGGCAGGGATTTGTGCTGCTGTCTGGACTCGCTATAAATAGATGTTCTCAAAAAGTCTTAATTATTTAATATCATACTTTACTGACAAAAAGGGACAAATATTGCTCAGTTAAATTGCAAAAGAAATTTGTTTCAAAAAATTGTAATAATAGAAAGTTTGCTTTTTTGTTTGATAAGACTGCTGTAATGGTTTAATGTTTGTTTATTTGTCTTAATCATACATTTTTCAGTCATTTCATGGTGCCACCACTTGGGATGGTATTAGCTGCAAATATAGACGTGTACTCAGCACTTATTGCCTTTAAGAAGTATGAGATCCATTTTGTGCTAACACCTACCGTGACACATAATCTTGGTTTATGCAGTCTCATAGGAGTAACCTGTCTAAAGCATTTAGCAATGGGATTGGAACCTGCGACGTAAGGTTCAGCTTCTTATTGATACTTTGATTTATAATATTTATTTGAGAATTTCACTCATTCACATACTTAGAGATGTTGAATATGTTGAATAGCATCAATTTAGACCTTTAATTAGCTAAGTAAACATGTACTGTGAGGTTTTTAAGGTCCCATTCATTTTATATGCCAGATGCATGTTAAGGAACATTACTGCATAAATGTTTTTGTCTTAAATTTGAAGCTCTTTACTAATATCATGAATATAGAGATATGTTAGTGTTAAACCTCTTCAAATTAGGGTAGACCTTTACTTTAAACTCAGCAATATGAGTGTGTTGTGTGAACTTGTGTTAGCGAGACAGTGTGTTGTATGAATTTGTGTTAGCAAGGCAGTGTGTTTTGTGAACTTGATTGTGTTAGCCTGACAGTGGGTTGTGTGAATTCTTTTTAGCTTGACGATGTGTTGCGTAAACTCGTGTTAGCAAGACAGCGTGTTGTGTGAAATCTTGTATAAAATGTAAGTGTGACAGTGTGTTGTGTAAACTCGTGTTAGCTAGACAGAGTGTTGATTGAACTTGTATTAGCGAGACTTCGTGTTGTGTAAACTCGTGTTAGTGAGACTGCGTGTTGTGTAAACTCGTGTTAGCGAGACTGCGTGTTGTGTAAACTCATGTTAGCAAGACAGCGTGTTGTGTGAACTCTTATTAACGAGACAGCATGTTGTGTGAATTCGTGTTAGCGTGACAGTGTGTTGTGTGAACTTGTTATCTAGCTGCAGATCTGTAGCTATCCGGAAAAATATATATTGATAGACCGGATAGCTACAGTGCCACCCATTTAAAAAACTGTATATTTATTGCGCACAAAAAAGTGCGCTCGGTTTTCAATTTATTTCTCCATGTTCCTAAAACTGAAATCTCATAATATTACTAACCGTGTGTTCCTAACATATTCTTTGACTCTTTCCACAACCAAACATTCGTCATAATTATTTTTAATAGTCCTCCTGACCCTGATAATGTAATCATCGAACATTTCGATTATATATACTGCCATTTTGGTTTCAAAGATAACTCGGTCCAATATGCTTCGTTCAGATGTCAACTACGAATGTAATTGATAAAAGAAACAGAAACATTTTAAAATCTTCCCTCTTTTGCAATTGAGGTAAGAATTAGGAAGAAATAATCAAAAACCGAGCGCACTTTTTTGTGCGCAATAAATATACAGTTTTTTAAATGGGTGGCACTGTAGCTATCCGGTCTATCAATATATATTTTTCCGGATAGCTACAGATCTGCAGCTACTTGTTATCCTGAAAATTTGTCGTGTGAACTGGTGTTAGAGAAATAGTGTGTTGTGTGAACTCGTGTTAGCGAGATTGCATATTGTGTGAACTCGTGTTAGCCAGACTGCGTGTTATGTGAACTCATGTTAGCGATATTGCATGTTTTTTGAATTTGTGTTAGCGTGACAGTATGTTGTGTGAACTCGTGTTAGCCTGACAGTGTGTTGTGTGAAATGGTATTAGGATGACAGTGTGTTGTGTGAAATGGTATTAGGATAACAGTGTGTTATCGCAACAGCGTTTGGTGCGAACTTGTGTTAGTGAATAGTGAGACAGCCTGTTTTGTGAATTCGTGTTAGCGTGACAGTGTGTTGTGTGAACTCGTCTTAGCCTGACAGTGTGTTGTGTGAAATGGTATTAGAATGACAGTGTGTTGTGTGAAATGGTATTAGGATGACAGTTTGTTATCGCAACAGCATTTGGTGCGAACTTGTGTTAGTGAATAGTGAGACAGCCTGTTTTGTGACTTTGTGTTAGCGTGACAGTGTATTGTGTAAACTCGTGTTAGCGTGACAGTGTATTGTGTAAACTCATGTTAGTGAGACTGAGTGTTGTGTAAACTCATGTTAGCGTGACAGTGTGTTGTGTGAATTCATCTAAGCGTGACAGTGTGTTGCGTGTACTTGTGTTAGCTAGACAGTGTGTTGTATGAACTCGTATTAGCGAAACTGCGGGTTGTGTAAAACTTGTGTTAGTGAGACAGCGTGTTGTGTGAACTTGTGTTAGCGAGACAGCGTGTTTGTGAATTTGCGTTAGCCTGATATTTTGTTGTGTGAAATTGTATTAGCGTGACAGTGTGTTGTGTGTTAGTGTGACAGCGTGTGGTGCGAACTTGTGTTTGTGCGAAAGTGTTTTTCAGTGTTGTGATGGCGAGCTGTGTGATAGCCCAATGGCATCTTTTGTGTCGGTAAGATGGCAGGTTTTTATGAAAGTGCTATTGAGCTTTAGCAAGTGGCCCTATCTGGACACGCCTTATTATAATTGATCAGTTCTCAGATATACAGTGAATTACCGGTATTATTGTCACCATGAAATCAGCATTTACAGTTGCAATTACCTAGTTAGTAATCATAAGATATTGGTTTGCCAGTTTTAAAATTATGGTGTTCCAATGATGTGAAGTTGCAGTGTGTTAGCATGTTAATTTCAACAGACTGCCACTCAAATGCAGCTTTAAACAACACGCTGCTGTGTTTACACAAAACAAAATATCATGCAAACACAACTCTAAACAATCTGTTGAGTGTTAGCTTCACTGCATGTTGGATTCAGTGTGCTGGCATATTATCACTGACGTACATGCTAGCACATTGTCACCTCGTGCTAGTATGTTGTCATAAATACTCTAGCACATTATCCTAAACCCACTAGTGCATGATTACTTTGCACTTGTATGTTGTCTTATTAGGGGATAGCATAAATGACTGCCTTAATTGGTGTAAACTTCTTTTAATTGATGAAAGAGTACATTAAAATTTACAAATTATACACAGAAAATGTGACAATATCTTATCTCTCAATTTGATAATCTAATTTATAATCTCATGAATTGCATTTTTTATTAGTAAAAGAATTATAAATTAAAAAATTTCAATTTCTTTTGGATAGGTTTGACTCATCTGAATACTGAATTTTAATACCAAGCATGACCATGATTTGCCAGAAGATCATCTGTTTGGATGTGACATGGAATAAACAGCATAGTGAAAATAAGTCAATTTTTGGTTTGTGAAGACAATTTTTAAACACACAGTGTATCATTTTTAAATTTTGATTTGACAACATAAATCCACAAATATGAACATATCAATTGCTCTCAGTTTTTCAAGTGAAATAGTTATTGTAACAGAAATACATGTACCAGTAATTACATTGGAATAAATGTTATTTTTAAGTATAATAATATTTTGTTTGTGTAGCATGTTGACCTCTTTATTAAGGTCTTCCCTTTCAAAGTTTAGACTTACTTATTCTAATGATTAAGATAGATCCTCTAGATCTGTCTTCAGCAGGAATATAAGATCTTGTAATACATGTATGTGTATTTTTTTACAGTATAATGTAAAAAAAAATGTTTTTTTGGCACATACAACTAATTAAAGGCATAAACATGTGTATGATTCCAAGGAATTCAGTACATAGGGCATGTACATGTAGTTTTCTAAAACAAGATTGAAGAGATGTCCAGTCGCATTTCAATGTCAACTGCAAAACTGTGCCTGTTGCATACTTATTAGCCCATCTGAGCTAAAGGAACCAGTAATTTTTTTAAAAACATAATTTTATCCATTATCATCATTGTCTAAAATTTCACGATATCATTTTCCAGAACCAAAGTGAAACTTGGCACAGAGCATCCTTAGTGTAAGGGATTCAAATTGTTCTTATGCAGGGCAATTACCTTCAAAGAGATTCGTTTCTTTAATGCTGTCAGGCGCGTAGCCAGGCGTACGTTTGTACGCCCAAACGTCCACATCATTTTCCAAAAGAAAATTGACTTCAAACTGCACTTTTTAACCTCTGTCACCAAATTCCCCCCAAAATTTCAACCTTCATGGAATACTTCAAAAAATCATAATTCAGCTTTATGTGTAAATATAAAAATTCGAAAAAAAAAAAATAGTAAAATTCATGCAGTTTAAAAACTGAAGAAAAGAATAATAAGGCCTAAGTATTGACGTCCGTAACATTATCTTAAAACCTATAATATATACCGGGTATTACATGTTTTTTTTTTTTTTTAATATAATTTTTACTAAAAGTAAAAGATACCAGATTTGTGAATATTTATAAACATTATGTATGCATTTTAAAATGTATACAATGGAACATACCCGATAGGTATTAATGTGCAAGTACATACGTATTTTGTGAAGTTTCAAAAGTCTAAAATTGTTTTAGTGGCTTCGTCAAACAACGCTATTGACAGATCCTTTCTTATTTTTGAGTGCTTTTCCGCATTTTGTCCAATAAAAGAACAGACCACAAATTAAATGTTTCTGCGTTTAAGTGATAGAAAATTGCTATCAGGAGGGTCACATAAGCACATCGAAATCGTCGAAAATTTACCAGCTTCCAAGCTCCCACTATAGGGTTTTGCCCTAGACCCAATAAGGTCCTCAACCCCCATGTCTATATCCAGGCGTCCACATCAAAAGTACCCTGGCTACGCCCCTGGCTGTAAATGTATTATATTTAGCTTGTACAATATTTGGTGGAAATTGACTTTTGAATAAGTTAGCGTAGAACTAGATATTCTTATTTATGTTTATGTACAAGACTTTTAGCTTTGTCCTTCATTTAGTGATTGCTGCATTCTGCCAAAGCCGCTAAAAAAGAATACACAGCCATATATATGTAATATGTTCACAATATACCTTTCAGAGAATTTTACACTCCTATTGAGGTACCACCAGTTGCTAGTGGAAAGCTTCAAATTCGAAACATACACAACACATTTCTGTGCGTTTATTATAAAAGTATTGTTCTACTTACTGATTGCAACTAATGAAGATTGTTCATCATTATTGTAAAGACATTTGGATTTTTTGAATTATTATATAATTTGTTTATTTTATTTACCTAGTTATATTGTATATTAAATGATTTTAAAGCCATTTTTAAGATGATAATGTAGCAAAACACTTATGTTTCTGTAGTATGACACGTTTCACAAACATAATTGCAACAAAGATGATATATCCGATATCAAAAGTCATAATATTGGAAGTTTAACTGTTGTGGATACGATTTCAAGAATGCTGGTAGAGAGAGTACCCTTTAGACCTCATGCTCACACCAAATTAAAGAATTCAAGTAAGGGTTTTTGAGACAAATCGAGAAAGAGAATGTTAGCAAAGTTGACAATCTAGACAGAAACATTTAATCTTTTGCTTATCGCTAGGAAGGAAGACCCACTCGTTGCTTTGCAACGAGCTTTGCTCTAGTTATTATTGTTTTTTTTTTCTTACCGAATTTGTACGCACGATTTCTTGAGAACGGCTCGATCGATTTTCATGAAACTTTCAGGTCTGATAGAACATTAAAAAATCTAGATATATATTTTTTTATTTTGATGACGTCACTTCCGGTTCGGATTTTTCTGCGATTTAGTGATTTTTAGAGGGTCACTTTGTCCGGCAGTTTTCTCAAAAAGAACTTAACACAGAAGTTTGAAATTTTCAGTGATGCGTAGAGCAACCTTTGGAGAAGTGCACTAAGTATATCACAACTACCGGAAGTACGAAGCGCCGACGCTCGCTATGGCCCGAAAATAGTCCTATCAAGAATTTCAAAATTTTAAGCACTTTTTCAACGATAACTTTTTACATAGAAATATTTTGTTAAAGCATGTAGAACAAAAAAGGTGACGAATTTCAAGATCTTTCAAATAACATCTCGAAAAAAGGGCTGGCCCCTTAAATCAGGGGCCTAGAGGAGCCGAAAGTTTTTCCTTTATATCTCAAAAAGTATTGAGAATTTGTGATACGTAAAAGAAGCAAAGTTGTTCAAAATGTCAAGCTTAATCTATTGAAGTCGTCAAAATACGTCCGGCGTCGTCACTTCCCGTCAAACCGGAAGTAGTCGGAAAACGCGTATTTTTGTCGTTCTTGACAAGTTTTCTGGTAACATGTGTCTCTGGGAGCATAATAATAATTTTTTCGTCCGTCGTCGTCACTTCCGGTCAAACCGGAAGTAACAGAAAATGGCTTATTTTTGCAATAATTAACATGGAGTTTGAGGAATCAAACCATTTTTGGGTGTTATTTCTCATTTCTGTAAAAAATGAAAGCCACTTCCGGTCAAACATGACGTAAGACCTACTCGTTGCTTTGCAACGGGCTTTGCTCTAGTTATTATTCTTTTTTTCTGCACAAATTTTGTGCCGACGATTCCTCAGAGACCTTTAGATCGATTTGTTTCAAATTTTCAGGGTTGGTGTAGAATTATCTGAAGTTAATTCCGGCTGAAGGATTTTTTGAAAATCACTTCCGGTCTAGAGTTATCGCCCTTTTCTTAAAATTCAAACGACCTCCGTGTCTGTGATAGAACTCAATAATGGCTTAAGCTAGAGCGCTGAAATTTTCAGTGATAATAGAGGACATGTTGCCATGGTGCACCTGGGTCAGGATATTTTCCGGAAGTATCTAGTATGGAAACTCGGTAGGGGTCAAAATTTAGGACACGAATCATGACTGATTTTTAAAGACATTTTGCATCATATCTTTTAAAGTATAATTATTTTGTTAAAACATATTGAACAAAATTTGTGCAAAATGACAAGATCTTTAACATGATATCAAGAAAAAAGAGCTGAATCATCACATTAGGGGCCAAAAGGGGCTTAAAGTCTTTTTTCGATAACTCTTTAACAGTCAATTTTTTGTTATACATTACTGAAGCAAAAATGTTTATCTAAACAATCTACCACTGTATATTATGATTTTAATGTCGTATAATGCATGATTAGGGGCCACAAGGGGCCAGAATGCTAAATATTTGACGCTTTATATCTCGAAAGTGAGAAATATTTTGATAAGTAATATTGAACAAAAGATGTTCAAAATCATGTTTTGAACAATATGCAACCTTTCATTTTTCGCTCAAGGTCCCCATTTGGGAGTTGAAGGGTTGGCCCCTAAATATTTCTTTTACAAATAACTCGAAAACGAAAAAGAATCTCTGAATAGTTATTGAACACAAGGTGTTTAAAATCCTAAGAGCTTCAAGATGAAATCAAGAAAAAGGGGCTGGGCACTCAAATTAGGGGCCAAAAGGGGCTTAAAGTCTTTTTACGATAACTCTTTAACAGTCAATAATTTGTAATACATTACTGAAGCAAAAATGTTTATTTCAACAATCTACAACTGTATATTATGATTTTAAAGTCGTACATTACATAATTAGGGTCCACAAGGGGCCAGAATGCAAAATCTTTGACGCTTTGTATCTAAAAAGTGAGAAATATTTTGATAAGTAATATTGAACAAAAGATGTTCAAAATCATGTTCTGAACAATATACAACCTTTCATTTTTCGCTAAACGTCCCCATTAGGGAGTTGAAGGGCTGGTTCCTTAATATTTCTTTTGCAAATAACTCGAAAACGAAAAAGAATCTCTGAATAGTTGTTGAACAAAAAGTGCTCATAATCCTAAGAGCTTTAAAATGTTTTAAAGAAAAAGGGCTGATCCCTAATATTAGGGGCCGTAAGGGGCCAAAAGTCGATTTTAGAAGTCTTTATTGTTCAATGTCTTTTTACAGAATATGGAAAATCATTACTTAAGAATGAAAATCTCAATCAAAATCTGATCTCATCTCATCAAGAATCGAACGGAAGACCCACTCTTTGCTCGCAACGAGATCGTATCTAGTTATTATTATTATTATTATTATTATTATTATTATTATTATATGAACCCACGACCCGTAGGTCCAAGCATTGCAAAATTTTTGAAAAGGCACCCTTGCTTATCAAAATTGTTTGATAAATAAAAAGGAGCAGATTTCAAACAATTATGTAATTTTCAGTATATAATTAGAGCCTCCCCAGCTATGGTACCCCTGAACCAGAGGCCTTGAAATTCCCAATTCTAGAATAGGGTTCGTTATTAATCAAACTAGTAATTATATAGGACGTTTTTCTGCAATATACCGAGGAAAAGAGAAGATTTTTCAAAGATTTAACGCATTTTCACTAGTATAACTATATGATTAATCAATAGAGCCCCGTCCTAACATCAGAACTCCTAGTTCTGAAGCCATGAATTAAAAATTTTGGATGTGGTGCTCTTACTAATTACTATATACTTAGTTTATTAAATACCTAGGATCAGAGAAGAAATTTTTGAAAGATTTGATCAATGTATTTTTACTATATATTCATAATAGAGCCCTGCCCTAACACCATAACCCCTGACCCTGGGGCCATGAAATACACAATTTTGGTAGAAGCATTCTTGCTCATCATAACTGTGTACTAAGTTAGTTTATTTAATACCTAGAAACAGAGAAGAGTTTCAAAGGATTAATGCATTTTCACTATATAATCAATAGAACCCCACCCTAACACCAGAACTCCTGCCCTGGGACATAAATTTCACAATTTTGGTATAGACAATCTCTTGCTCATCATAACTGGGTACTTAGTTACATGTATTTTATTTAATACCCTGGAGCAAAAAGGATTTTCAAAGAATTAATGCATTTTCACTACATAATCAATAGAACCCTACCCTTAAACCAAACCCCTGATCTCTGGGCCAGTACAAAAAGTTGTGACGCACGTCGACGGACAAAAACGGATAGCAATAGGTCACCTGTGTGACTCTTATCAATATCTAACAATGTATAAGCTTTGTTGAAAATATCTTAGTTTCGTTGAAACTGAAAATATCTTAGTTTCTTTGAAACTGAACTTTGTACTGAGCTAAATGCAAAGTGTGACGGAAGGACAGAAGACGGACATAACAAACACTATATGCTCCCACATAAGAACACATAAGAACCATTCCTAGCAATCCACAATTTTATATCTATCCTATTATGCTACACTTTTGCTTTATATTTAAGGACAAAACTAATCCCATAGCTGGAAATATTTTAAGCCAAAATTCAAGTGTGTATCAGAAAATATCGAAAGCAACAGGAGTCCATGATACACACAGGAAATAAAAATAATAACTTGAGTTATATTGGGTATGCAGGAAATTCAACATTTTGACGGAATTTGATTCAGTAAGAAAGTTTCCATATTTCCTAAGCAGAGTTACACATCATGAAGTAACTGAGATATGTCTACAATATTATATTCACTCGTCAAATTAGAGTTGTAGATGTCTGAGCTTGACCCCCAATACCTATTGAGAGGAAGCTCATTGTCCACCCACACTTTGCACCTCAGGTTAAATCTGTGACTTCACACTAGCTACACATCAGCAGAAAGGAATATACGCAATTGAAAATGGACTCCATTAGAAGCTTACAAACGTAAGTTTTAATGACAATAATTTATAACACGAAAAACAATTCCTATATCATATGAATCAGTGTAATCAGTGTAATTTGTTGACAGTAAAATTGGTTTTAACTTTTTACACCACTGAATCTAAAACATAATATATATCCTAGACAATGTTAGATATAAACTTCATTTTTTAAAAAAACAAATGAATGATTTAATTGAATTGAAAAATAATTGATTCAGTGGAGGAAGTATTTTTTATTTTATGATTTATGAAGGTAAAAACTATCAATTGTGATAATTATATAATAGATTTACAAAAGTGAAACATTCATTATACAAGAAATTAAATTCCACTTTAATCATTCTCAGTACTGAAGCCATACAACGCATATCAGATTCAGTGTTTGTGGGACTGAGCCACATAGTGGGGACCTCACAACTGGTGGCCATGCGGAGAGATATGATGGACATCAGTGATGTAGTGGACAATCAAGTGAAAACAAGTGATGAGCAAAGTGGGATGGTGAGTGGAAGTATCAGAGAAGGACTCAGACTGAAAGGATCAGATATTGACGTTATGTACTGGCCACATAATCACCGTGTGATCTGGGAATTATCTCAGTCTCAGTATTACAACACACACAGACAAACACTGATCCTCTGTGACTGTTCTGAAAGTCCACCAGGATTTACTTTAATATATTTACTGTCACCAAGCATGGTCAGAGACATTCAAAGAGCGTGTGTTAGAATGAATAACAAATATTATGTATCTAGTTCTAAATACACACAGATCTTTATATCTGAGTCATCACTACCTTATAACCCCACTCCACATGGACCCTGTGTCAGTGGAACATATAGAACAACAGAATATGATTCTGCCTACTGTTTTGCTAGTGACTTTTGGCCTCCCTCTGCCTTCCAATGGATAGACAGATGTCTCTCATGGCCCCAGCCTCATGTTGTTGATGATATAGTGAAAAATGGATGCCACTTTGTAGCAATTGGACATAAGTTAGGAAATCATGAAGATCATGAATGGAGAATATCTTTCTCCAAAGCTGAACAAAAACTTGTGTATGCAATGAATCACTGTCAATTCTTAACTTACGGCTTACTTAAATTGATCTTAACAGAAATAATTAACAATGGAGTAGGTGATGATGATAAATTACTGTGTTCCTATCACATGAAGACGGCAGTTTTCTGGGTGATCCAACAAAATGCAATACCTCACTGGTGCCCACAAAATCTTCTGGGGGGTTTCTGGGTCTGTTTTAAACTCATCCTCAAATGGGTGTTTGAGGCGGTCTGTCCTAACTTTTTCATTCCAGGCAACAACATGTTTCTGAGTAAAATTCATGGCGTCAAACAACATCAATTATTTGAAAGACTGTCAGAGTTGTATAAAAAGGGTTTAGCATTCCTGCTACACAGTCCCTCCATTAGGTCTTATATTATAGATGTCCTCTATAACCCCAGAAACTTTATCTGTACAGATGATCATACTCTGATTTCTGAGGATGAGTTTGATAGAAATCTATTTAATGAAATACTAAGTCAATATGCAATACCAGGCAAACTGGACATACAAATCTGCATTAGATATCTACATACAATAGAACAGATGATAAGTTCACCCCTACTGACACAGTATCAAGTCATAATGCTACAGAACATGACCTCTAGGAGCCTTATGAACACAGCTTTTATATTTCATATGGAAACTTGCACACCTGACAACAAACTGAGTTATAGAGCTGACAAAATGTCCAGTCATATGCTAAAATTAGCTGCCAGTTTTGGTTATATTACAGACATGCTGTACATGGCCATGTATTATTATAAGACACTTAGATACGTGGTAGCTTTATCTATTATAGAGATGATCAAATTCAAGTTAGCGCAGCCATATGTGATGTATAAATATATAGATGCAGAGATGTATACTGAAGCTGTAGGGGGACAGTCCTGGTCTACAAAGATGAGACAGGTTGTATTATATCATGCCAGACTTGACAAAGGAATTCATTACATCAGTGAATTGATACCAGAACAACAGTCTAGTCTACAGAATAATCAGGATATATTATTCATCCCACCCTTTATCCTGTTATACATGCTAGAGATCTTGTGCTACAGACATGTAGACACAATGCGAGCACAAACAGCTCTAGATGATCTACAGACCCTAGTTCACTATGATCAGGAACAGATTATAGATTTAGATTTCAGAGACATATCGTGGCAGATTCTGGGGATCTGTCAACAGGTGACAGGGAACCTCCAGGCTGCTCTTTACTCATACCAACAATCTCTCAGACAAGAACCATTCAACAAAATACAAGCAGCTACAGAAATGAGAATACAGAAAGTTTACCAAGGGATTAATTAAGCATGTTAAATGTCAGTTGATATTTGTTGGAGTTCACGTGATAGATATTTATTATTTATATATTTACCCTCTTCTGATTTCATGTTTTCCTTTCTGTTTGTTTTATTATTTGAACTATAAAGTTAATAGCTTGAGTCTATAATAAAAAAAAGGAACCATTGCTTATCATAATCACATGTGTATACACTTAGCATGCATACTGAACTTAGTACCCAGAGTTAGATCAGACTAAAAAAGAGAAAATGCATTTTAACTTTATAACCATATGTGCATCCCAACCCACTGTAACCAATAACCACGGTTCCATATATTTAAAAATTATTTTTATCATAAATTTTATTTGATTAATTCCACAGAGCAGATTTCATACCATTTACAAATTACATACAGGATCCAAAATTTCACAAAAAAATAGAATTTTTCTCTGAAGATTTGAGTTACACTCTGCTAAAAAGTAATTTGAACTTCCATAGGCTGGTGCACTGACTAAAATTAAGTAAACTGGTCACCAGCTCAGTATACTTGTAACTAAATCCAAGTGTGAAGACTTTCACCAATTTAAATCTTATTATGAAGTGTGTCAGAACTTATATCCCAAATTCGAAAAAAAAAACTACAGACACTTTTATACACAGAGTGAGAGTTAGGGTTGTTTATGACAGCCATAATAGATATTTTAAAACAACTTAATAGAAAAAAATAGATAGGAATTCAATTTACATAATGTAAACCAACTTTTATTCGCGTGCTAGAAATTTTTGCAAAGTTCGCGAAAGCCTAATCATCGCGAATATTTCTTGCCGGAACCAGTCCTTAAAGTCTCTGTGTCAATTAAAAACACATTTAAGAAAGGCTTGATCGCAAATATTAATCGTCGCGAACTAGTTTTACTCTATTAAATCGCCAAATAAAGTCGTTGCAAATAAAAGTTGGTTTACAGTACCAGTAAGATCTTCTAGATATTTTACTTTAAAAAAACAACACCTTAATCATAATTTTTCAGAGGGGCTCCTGAATTTTAATTATATATTTAACCAAATGTGGAAATGAATTCAAATGAGAAACAGGGATAATGCTGATTTTTAAAGTAAAATTTCACTTACGTGTCTTGTATGTAAATTGACTTCCTATCAGAAAATCAGAAACTATACCAGGCTTTATTGAAAGAAATGTCTTTGACATGTAGAATTAAAAAAAAGATCATATGCATGCGTGGGTAGATTTTTTTTATGAAGAATTTGATTTAAAATTCTTTGACTTTTTGTTAGTAGCAGTGTCCACTGAGAAACCAATTCCCAGAAACATTGTTAACTTCTAAAATCTTTGTCTTCTCTAAGTCCTGATACATAAATAAGTAAAAAAGTATAGATCCTTTCAAATAAAATCTTACTCCATTTGATAATTGACAGTAGTTTTAAAAATTTTCAGTTGACATCTTGAAACACAATCCTATCATATGAACAAATCATCAAAAGAAATCGATTCATGATAAAAATCAAAACTCAATTTTGATTACATTCACTGTAATTACAGTGTAGCTAATCGTCGAGAAACAAAAAACCATTCGGCAAAATTATTGCTTCAACAATTCTCTACTTTGAAGCAATCAAACACTTTAGCTCTGTTTAAAGGGAGAAAACTCCTACAACCTTATATGTAATATTCATGGGAGTCGAACATGGTGTAAAATAAAATATTTGATCGGGAGGTTAAGTGAGTGAACATCATCGAATTACAAGGAAATTCAAATATGACCTTCAAATTTCTATGACATATCCATATGCACAATGTACCATATTAAGTGAATGTGTGTAACTGTTGAACAGAAAATGGATGATACTGGAATGAGCTAAGACTGTATGCCCCTGACCATTTTATGGCGAGGCCATAAAAACATAGTTTAATAGTGTGATACAGATTGAACATTTTAATTTTACATTGTTTATTACAGTACTAAAATTTAATTCGAAATAGAATTCTTGAACACTTTAATATTTTTAAAATGAACATTCATAGCTTTACTGACATAGAGGAACAATCTATTTAGAAATAATTAACAGAATATTTTAAAGAACTCATTTAATTTAATGCAATTGACTAAACACATAGTTTGAAAACTTAAAACTAGAACTTCTATCTGAACCACTGGTCCATTCTATGCAATCAAAGCTTTACACATCCTTTTCTATTCTTGTAAGATACATCCTAGTATCTGAAACTTTATACAGACCTCTATACAATTCATGCAACATGGATGTTTCATAATTTTTTTTAAAGCAGTCAAAACTTTAAAACGCAAAGATGCATAAACCATACACAGACCAAAGTGCACGAATTGAAAAATACAAATCAAAACAATACTCTCGCAACATGTTTCACGATTTCTGAATAATCAAATAGACAACAGAAACCTACAGAACCTATTTACCGGGTTACTGTCAAAGTTACAGCAGGATTTTTTTTTCAAAATGAGTAACTGTTTATGTAGAACAATTCACTTCATTACCTTATCTGTTTCACATACATGTACACACACACATCTGACACTAATACTTTATCATTGATATAAACCAATTATCCTCTTGACTGTGCTTTTTAATCTAGCTCCTGTTGGCGAGGGGACGCTTCACATATAGACACACATATCATGGATACTTTAAATAAACCAATCATCCTCTTGTTGCAGTTTTTTCTATCTCCTTTTGACGAGGGGATGTTTCACATATACACACACATATAACAGCCCAAACAGAAAAAACAGCCTATCGGATCATGCTAACAACTCATGTTTAAATCATGGTTTTGATATGATTTCGGTATAGGAAAATTTCACATGCAAATGAGCTAATGGATCATGGTTCCGAGATGATCTGTTAAACTAAACAACTAGCAAGAAAACCATGATCCTGGTATGATCTGTTGTAGCTAACAACTCGTATTAAAACCATGATCCTGGAATGATCTGTTGTAGCTAACAACTCATATTAAAACCATGATCCTGGTATGATCTGTTGTAGCTAACAACTCGTATTAAAACCATGATCCTGGAATGATCTGTTGTAGCTAACAACTCATATTAAAGCCATGATCCTGGTATGATCTGTTGTAGCTCACAACTCGTATCAAAATCATGATCCTGGTATGATCTGTTAAATTGAACAACTCATAGGAAAATTCTACTTCTTATACAATTTAACTAAACACTTTGATATTTGCAATAAAGTTCTCTTTAATATTTGATAAATAATTTCAGTTACCAAAAATTAAGAAAAAATATTATATACATATTTCACATGAACCATGACGTCATATAAATATAATCCCAACAAATGATCTTCCTTAATAAGATGACGATCTTAATATAAAACATTATCCAAACTATTCACTGAATTTTATAAGAACAGAATCACAGAAATCCATTCTTCTTAAAGAATAATCCGGAACTCATTGATATCACTGCTTATTTATGATTCTGCAAAAGCATATAATTACAACATTTGTTCACTACAGAATCAGCAGAGTGGTGGATCTATTATTCAGAATCACAAACACTGAAAGGGCTCCCAAATGAAGTAGTCTATCCTCTGATATAAGCTCTTTATATATGTATATAAGCACCCTGAAAAGAAACGTAGAGAGTGGTATTTATTTATCGATCAACATATCATTATCTTTAGATCATGAAAATATGAAATATTCAAGTATTTTCCCCATTTCATTAGTGAAAAGAATTAGATTAATCACCAAAAGAATAATATTGTTGAAATGTAATATTATTTACGTACACAAATTTTGTCTTCACCAAAGGCGGGTCTTTTGAATTTGGTAATTTGAATGCAATTCAAATGTTAATCATGAAGATGGAAATGTCGGTAGCTGCAAAAGAATTTAATTTTTATAAATAAACATTTTATATAACGATTAACATGTACATGTACCACAAATATTTGAATCAAGGAGGTCAATTTGATGCTTAAATTAAGATTTCAATTCAAATCCATGTAAAGCTTTGCTATGTCTCTTCTACAAATTTACAAAGAAAAATTAAATCATGCACTTGCTGGTAGAAACTAAAAATTAAAAAAGGTCAATAATAAAATTAATGAATTATACTTACCGAGTATAGAGTTAATAGTCCAGCACTTATTTTTATTGCTTACATGATGCAAAGGCTTTTCTTTTAAATCGACAACAAGAAAACGCGCACATCTTGTTTATCAGAATTCAAATTCTGACCTAGATCAGCTGCAAACCACTGTACTACAGCGAGCTGCCCAGCAGGAGAATTGCATAACAAGGTTACTATGACTCTGAAATTGACCAGTGATCCAATCCTAATCTAATGCCTCAAAGTTAGATTGGGAGTGGATCGCAAATATTACATGAAGAGAAAGAGTTTTAATATAATACTGGCCGCGTTATTTAAACACAGCACTTATTTTATGTGCTTATTTAAATATGAATTATTGTATTTGTTTGTCATTTAATTCAACTTCAAAAAAAAATAATATTGTCTTTGTAACTATGTCTGTACATGCTGTGTGCATTTTCATTATTGAAAATTAATTTTCATGTTCTCTTTTAAATAAGACTTTTATTGATGTATGACTGTTGTTTGATTCTCCAAGCTAGAGTGAATTTAAAGCTTGCATTTTCACCTATCATAGATGACAAAGTTAACAAACCATATCAGGATCATACAACCAATTCTGACAAAGTTAACAAATCATATAAAACTCATGAATCTCAACAAAGAAGTTAACAGATCATGTGTAACTCGTATGGAGTTTAAAGACAAAGTTAAGAAACCACATCAAAATCACAAACTTTTAGCAGTTAAAGTTAACGAATCATTTCAAACTCATGTTCCTTTGTTTTCTAAGTTAATGGCACATGTCAGAATCGCAAGAAAATCATAGCAGACTCATTACTCAGAAACAAACCACATCAGGATCATACTTCCTTATATGTCATCTATGATTTCAGTATGATCCATTTAATGGATCATGTCTAAATCATAGTTCAAAATCATGAATTTGTGAGTTTGATATGATTTGTACGTGATTTTGGCATGATTTGTTAAGAAAAGTTTTTGTTTGGGAGATACTCAAACCAATTAGCCTCTTGCTGACCTTTTTTATTTTCTCTTGGGGATGCTATGCTTTGCGATGCCCTTTATAACAGTTGGTTTTATAGTGGCACTGAACCAATCTATCATTCTTTGACGGTGCTAAATTTTCTGAGGACTGCAGATGGCCAAGCCAAAACAGCATACTGTAAATTTCATCTCTGTCTTTTGGGTCCCAGTAATCATAAGGCTTTGTGTAAGATATGGATGCTATTTTTTCACTGCAATCAAGTCCCTTCTTTATGCATTTGTAGTGGTCCCCATTTATTTCCAAAAAACGTAAAGATAATCTACAAAGTAAACAATAAGATTGAAATATAATTTTTATATGCCTATATATTGACAAAGAAAATAGAAATTTTCTTAAAATATGGAAAAGATGGTTGTGTTTTAGCATGTTAATAGTTCATGAAAATTTACAAGGATCTTAAAATTATTAAGTTGTAAAAATATTGCTGTATAGCCTTTATGAGCTCGATACATGTACTGTAAAGTAATACAAGATAACACACCTTTGACTTTAAACAAATCAGTCTCAGGACACCAGGTGTATAGAATGAGCTGTGTCTCTCAGCCAATAGTTCTCCTCCGTGTTGTCCTAAGATACCGGGGGATAACTCATGTATATCAAAACCTACTGTCCCCTTTCTCCTTCTCCTTGTGACAAAAAACAATAATAAGACCAAAAAACGAATCCTATTTCTATATAGTTTAATTATATAGTATAAGAACATGATAAGAAGCTTGTAACTCTCCGCATTAGCTACCCAGGTGAGTATTTGCAACCGGATGATTAAAAGTATAAAATAAAACCAAGGGGACCGGATGCAATTTGAAGTTTAAAACCAAAGAGTGAACTAAACGAAATGAAAAAAAACCTCCTACCTTTTAGTTCCCTTTCCTGATGAATCCAACAAATCTTTTGCTTTTAGTGAGGCATCGTAAATCTTTTCGCGAGCATCTTTTATTTGTTCTATGAGTGATACAAATTCAAAATCGTTTATCGGTCTTGGACGATTCTCAAATGGTAAACAGAAAGTAAGATATCCTTGCATTATATCTGCAAAAACAGATAAGTGTTTCGGTGATAATGTTGATGAATACTCAGGTCCTATCCATGCCGTTTGCTTTACACGGTCAATCAAATTACAAAGAGGAATGTCACTTTGATCATAAACTACCCCCAATGCTTCTAAATCTGCTAGTTGCCATCT